TTTAAGTGAAAAAAACTACATTTTATCTGCAGAAGTGATGAAGAAAAATGAGCTTTTGCAGATTAAATACCAGCGTTAATTACTGGTATTAAGAGCTCTGCTTGGTAAAGACGCTGCAGCTACAGGGTGAAGCAGGTTTCATGGCAGGAGGTTTCTCCGGGTGTGGCACCTCCCAAATAAAGTGAAACCACAGCCTCTGAGCCCAACGTATAATAATACAGCTGCTGTGGTTTCCACTGAAATAACTGCTGCATTCAAGAAGCAGCCTCTCTGGTGGGGAGCGGCTCTACCACATAATTAGTGCTTAGGGACGTCACTAAACTGCCAGGATTAAAATGCACTCAGAAAGCCTGCAGCAGGTGGCTATTTGTACCCCCCCCCCCCCCCCTTTTTTTTTTTTTTTAAATGTTTTTACTGTTTCTTGATGGTTTTGGGATGATTTCATGGCAGGGACACGGCTTCATCCAAGGCCAGCAGGATGAAAGTGCCTAAATCTGCCCTCTTACACTGCATAAATATGTTAATACGTGCTGGCATGTACATTTAATTCAAGGAAAATTTATTTGGGTCAATGTAGGTATAAAAAACTTAAATAAGAGGGTTCTGAAAATAAGTGCATTTTTGTTTATTTTACCCCCAGGACCCTGCTGCTGAATGAGGCAGCTCTCTGTTTTCTGTCATTTTTCTAAATTACAATATTTAAACAGGCTCCTTTCACCTTATATTTTAGCCCCTGATTAACTGACATGCTGATAGATTTTTGACATGAAAACTACACGTCTGGCCTTGCTTTATGTATATAATTGAGTGACAAGAGACGTCGCTGTTGCAGACATGATTGCATACTTGCATACAGACACTTTTATCGTCGCATGCAGTCAGAAGCTGTCAAATTCAACCACAGTCTAGTCACTGACTGCTCAGAAGCAATTTACCTGAAAGTGTCTGTCATGAGGGAGAAGGATGTTCGTGGAGATTCTTAGTAATAAGATCAAGTGTCTCAGTTTGAAATCAAATTTTTTTTCCGTTTATGTTTAGCTGACTTTAAAGGTAAGAGACATCTTTGTAGTTTGCACTGTCCATAGACTGTATGTAAAAGATGGATGAAGGCACCATGACATCACATAAAACCTCAAGCTGAGCATTTGAAACCGGTCACAACAAACAGGCTCTAACCACAAAACTAATAGTCACTGGCTCATTGGCTACTGAGGTGTGGTTAAAGTTCTGTTAGCCAATGAGCATATACTGGCTTGTCCTCTTTCGGACTCAATTAAAGACCATAATGAGTTTCATGCTTTATTCAGTTTGACCTGAGTACCTGAATACCTGAGCCCTGAAACTCATCAGGAAACGGTTTACTAAGGAAGCGGAGACTTCTATGCAACCACAGTCGCCCCCTGCAGGCTGTTTTAAAATATGCACAACATTTAAATCGATTTTTCCTTCACAGAGTTTTATTGCCAAACGATCTACTTTTACTGACCTGAGGGGGAAAAAAAACATATATACTGATGGGTAGTTTTTATATCCTTTGATATGCCACTTTATTAGGTACACCTTGATAGTGTCAGGTTTCAGTTAACAGACTCAGGCGCAGACCGGGACTCCTTACAGGATTTACAGATTTTATTTACACAACGACACCAGGTGATGCTATTTACAAAGTGCTGGAGGGAGGGGAGGGGGGTCCAGGGTTCCGGGGTATGTGAGGGATAAGACGGGAATCTGACGCCCTCCAAAGGCTCTCTCTCTTCACTCCCCACACTGGGGAAACACCATCCACTCACTCGTCCACAGGATGACAGGCAGGCTGGGAAAGGTCCGGGATAGATCTGTACACAGAGATGATAGTTAGAGGCGAACAGACGGAACGAACTCACAGATCCTTATTTCAATCTACTGAGCGACTGACGCTGATAACTCAACGATCCAGCGACGAGTGACACAGTGCTGCTGTCTTAAATCGGCCTTGTGATTATCCCGATCGGCAGCAGGTGCGTGGGCCAGGGGCGAGAGCCCATAATGAGCATTGCCCCGGCAGGGGAGAGAGAGAGAGAGAGAGAGAGAGAGAGAAAACATGTTGCCTAATACAGAATCAGCTGGTGAGGCACAGGGACCATGACAGATAGTGCCCAGTTGAGACCTTTTTTGCCTTCAGAACTGCTTCTTCATGGCACAGAGTCAACAAAGTGCTGGAAACATTTTTCAGAGATTTGAGAGATCTCCTGTTCCATCACACCCCAGTGGGGCTCTACTGGTTTGAGATCTGGTGACTGTAGAGGCCATTACAGTTCACTTAACTCCTTGTCATCTTTAAGAAACCAGTTTGAGATGATTTGAGGTTTGTGATATTTAAGCGTGGACCACAATCTCTGAAGAATGTTTTTATGGCACAAGGAATTAAGGGCGCTCTGAAGGAAAAAGGCGCTCCAACCATGTAATTAGTAATGTGTACCTAATAAAGTGGCCGGTACTAACTGACGTTGGGTGGGTGCACTTTCAAAGATCACTGTTGCTCAGGTTGAAACTTGCAGAAAAACTGCTTTGATAAAGGACTTAAACAGCTTTGACAGGATTTAATCATAATTATGGTAACAAGCATTTTGCTCTGTGCGAGTCACGGTGCGCTGGGTTCACTGCTGCTTTTTGTTGAGAAAATTGGAGTCTGCTGGGCGCCACATGCTCCTAAAGAAGTTTTAAAATCCATATATTTTTAGTAAGAAATGTGAGTGAATCATTCGTCCTGTTGGTGTGGTCTTCCTACTGTATTTCCCACACCAGTGAGGAGAGACTCTTCCTGTAACCTCATAGCAAAAACACTGAACATTTCTTGTTCAGGCTGTGAGGTTTTACAGTACATGGTAGGGTCACTGAACTCATGTCAATTTGATTATTTTAGATATTATACTGCCTTAAATTGAAAAAAAAAAAGTAAAGACACTGCAGTACAGTAGTACCTCTCCTTGTAGATAAGGTGCTGTTCTCCACAACAGTATTAATAAATATTAATAAATATTAATACAACAACAATATTAATACACACATACCTCTCCAGATGTTGATTGCTGCTCTGCTTGACTCAGACAGCTGTACAGAAAATGGAAAAGTCTACCGCAACTATGAGACATGGAGCCCAGAGCTGTGTCGGGTCTGTGTGTGCGACTCGGGGGCTGTAGTGTGTGAGGACGAGGTGTGTGAGGAGCTGAGTGGCTGCCAGATGGCGGTGACTCCAAAGGGCGAGTGTTGCCCCGTGTGCTCAACTCACACGACAGAACCTAAAGCAGGTAAACCACTGCAGCTCTACCTTCAGTATGGGGATATAATCCACCTGCAGCTCCCTTTCAGCTGGTCATTGTGAGGTTTTCAGTACAATGTGTTTTTGTATACAGCTGGTGATATGATAACAAAGCTGCTGGCAGGAAAACAGATTCAGTTGTTTCTGGTCAATTTGTGGTTTGAGCCAAATCTGCTGAAGCTGCTTTTAGCTGCTATGCTACTCACATCTGGAAAAAACTTTTAAATCTAAATTGTGGAAACATCTACTTGCATTTTGTAGTGATGTACTGTTACAGTGCTTAGCACCCAAGAAGGCCTCTGTTAGCCAGCTGAGGACTTCCTGAGTTGAGTTGTCTGTGTGGTTCTCTGCAGTACTTCCAGTTCATCCCACAGCCTAAAAACATGCAAGCTATGTTAGGCCCAGGCCACAGAATGACCTCAGTTGCGACCCCTAAAAATTTATATTCCCATGTCAGTCAGTCAGTCAGTCTCCACACCAGGATCGGGATGAGTTACCACCACCCCAAGTACTCAAGTAAGTAAGCATCTGTTGTGGAGAAGAGAGCTGAGCATAAAAGCAAAGCTTTTGATTTACCATCAATCTAAGTCTTTACCCTCAGCAGTAGTCATGACCTCTAGGTAGTGAATGAAAGAAGAAAGAAGAGGTCAGGGATACAAGTGGCTGGCCTCTCCCTTAGAGATAGGTTTAGGAGCTCCATCATTTGGGAGGGGCTCGGAGTAGAAGCACTGCTTCTCTACATTGAAGGGATCCAGTTGAGGTGGTTCAGGCAGGAACCAGGATGCCTCCAACATCTTGCGTCGTCTCCTAGTTGACATATTCCAGGTATATCCTTCCAGGAGGAGGCCCAGAGGCAGACCTAGGACACGCTGGAGAGATTATATCACTTGATTGGGCTGGGATCTATTCTGTCTTTCCCTTCAGATGAGTTAACTGGATAAGCGATATTTAATAGATGAATGGATGAATGGCTGTAGCTGTCGAGTGGATGGTGAAGGCTGCTGGCAATTGCCATGAAATCAGTCACAAAGAGGCTGCTGCACCAGAAAACTCCTTATGATTGCCTTGGTCTGTAGCAGTTTTCATGGGAAGCAGCAACTCATCTGAAATCACTGGCCAACTTGGGAATGAGTGGCAATAAAACTGAAGAGCATTCACCTTCAAAGTAAAAGTTGACCTTTTGAAACAACCTTTACTTTGAAGGTGATTGTTCACCATTTACACTTTTAAAATGTAACTGCAATTCAGCCAGTAGTTAGCAAGTGCAGACAAGTCATTGTCTTGCTTGCAAACTACGGGAAACTGCGGAAATCTGCTAGCAACCATTACATTGGATTCCTAACTTACTAGAGAGGGCAAAAACTGTGTCTCATTGATGAAACCCTCACAATGACGTACGGGCTGAAAGGGACTCACCCACGATACTCATGCAGCTGCTGTTCTGTCTCATGAAGATACCTGCACAGAAAATGGCACGACCTACTCCAACAATCAGATATGGAGCCCAGAGCCGTGTCGAGTCTGTGTGTGTGACACAGGGACTGTGGTGTGTGAGGAGGTGGTGTGTGAAGAGCTAGGCGACTGTGAGACCACTGTGGCGCCTCAGGGCGAGTGCTGCCCTGCGTGCTCAGCAGCCACGCAACAGCCTCCGAACACGGACAATAAAACTGGTAATACATATTTTGAGCTTCATGTTGGACAGATTCAAACACTGGGATGTCTGTTCCATAAATATCCACACTGCTTTCCCACTTTTTATTACCTGTGGTATTCTTATAACAAGTGTGATTTGTCCTGTGTGCTGCGAATCACGACCTTATGGCCCTTTTTATTTACTACAGCACATCTTCACAGCACTACAGAGACAATAATTGAACATTTTGTTAGTGGAATTCAAAAAAACCAAAGGAAAGACAAAAATTCTCAAGTCATAGAGGTCCTCTAAGTATTGCTTGAGTTTTCCTCTGTATTGGTTATGATCAAAACCAGTATAATAGATGGACGTTGCCTCTGTGACGTCACTCGCTGATTGTTGACGTCCTGTTTCCACCATTGCTATCTTGGTTGCGAATAACCAAATGTGTCAAAACTTTTCATTAGCAAGTTGTTAACCAATGAGTGAGCAGTAAATCTATTTTTCCCCCCAATCAGAGCTATCGCCATCTTGTGGCCTTCAGGTAGAATGCAAGAATAAGGCACCCACATTTGCTTCTGTTGTTTTGTTTTTTTAACTACAGTTAACTTATTTTACTATTGATGGACAGGATACTGCCACCAGAAAAATGTGTATTTCCTCACCTGCTGGCGGCTGGTTGCTGGATGGCTGTCATTAATTGAAATCAGCAACACCAAAAACCTACTTACAATTGCATTCGATGTTATCAGCCTCAAGTTTGCATGGAAGATCCACAGCTGACTACAACCAATTGTTGACTACTTGCTGAAAAGTAGAGAAACTAAAAAAAGGCACAACTTTTACTTTGATGGTGAATTGTCTCCATTTGTGTGCAACTTTTCACAATTTTACATCTACTCCAGGATTAGCTAGTCTCTGGAGACAAATCCCAAACTGCCAACAACCAAACTGGTCACAATGAGTTTTTCATCAGCCAGTCGGGGAATACATTCTTCCCCATCATGGCCAGTAGATGACCAATGGTCATTGACCAGTCTGTAGGGCTGTGTGACTGGGACCTTATTCACTTAATGCTCCAGGGTCACATGCTCGAAAGAAGATAGAGGTCATATGATTGAAAGAACTTAATAACTGAAAAAGAACAAAGAAATACATGTAAAACGTCTTAAGACATCACCTCACCCGAACTGCATAAATGCGTATCAAGAAGTCAAAGGAAGTCCAGAAGTACTTCATCAATTTATTAAGTAATTTTGTAAAAATTGTTTTATTGCTAACAGGTAGCTTGAGGTTTTTCTAGAAGGAGAGTTCATCAGTAGTGAGATAACGTCTGGGCTAAATGAGATTAAAACAAAGAACGTTTTAAAAGGGATTTTATTTAAAAAAATGTCTGTTTGCTAACTTTCAGTAAGTGTAACGAGTGTTAGCATGCTGACCTGTGAGAATTGGCCCCAAACACAGAGCAGAGCTAGTGCTTATGGGAATGCAGTGATATTGAGTGGAAGACAGAGACTGTGAATCAAGTAATTATGATGGGGGGCAAAGGTGGAACTGAATTAACAAAGTTACAGTGACTATGCACATAGAAGGAGGTGGTTGGGGTCGATGGAGGGTCAGTAAAACACAGTTAAGTTCCCATTTCAAACTGTTTGAATTAAGCATAATTATTCCATACACTTAAGGAGAATTTTTTGTGCTTTTCTCAAAATACTGCGGCATACATTCATATTAAAAATTATCAAGACTTCAAATAATATGTGATTACTTTGTTAGAGTAATCACTCAGTTTTCTTGCTCTGACTAGTTAGTTTTCAAAAGTATCCTACTTTACCGATGAGCAGACTTGTCTTAACAAAGTACAGGAAGTAGTAGGAAGTTGCTCATAATCATTGGGTGCTGCCCCTTGGCTGTTTTCCCAGAAGTTGTCCAATCAGAAGAAAGTGGCCATTTAAGGTGGGATCAGTAAAAGGCAGTAAAATGAAATAAGGGGCTACATAACGGGCCAGTATGAGATAAATAAAACTCTTTATGAACTGTGACACAGAATGTTAGTCTGATGGTGTCACAGAGTGAAAGTAGAAAGCTGGGAATGAGTTTACCTGGTCCTCTGTAATGGCATTTTAAGTTGCCTCATGGCTCCATCTGTGTTGCAACCCAGTAACAGGGCAAAATAGACACACCAGTCCACTGTGTACATTTCATGCTTTGCCTCTCCAAAAACTGAAATGGACACACAGGCAGAAGTTGCTTTACCAGCAGGGGGAGATCATATTGCTTTCTTCAGTAAAACTGGCAGAGCAAAAGTGCAAACCCATAAACTACTAATCCACAATGATGCTTTAATGATCTTTTAGCTACTATATTATATACAGCTGACAAAGAAAATGATACTGAAGTCAGCTGCTGTTCTTTGTCATAAAGATTCCTGTACAGCGGATGGCAAACTCTACTCCAACAATCAGATATGGAGCCCAGAGCCGTGTCGAGTCTGTTTGTGTGAAATGGGGACGGTGGTTTGTGAGGACATGGTGTGTGAGGATATAGGTGACTGCCAGACCGCAGAGATCCCAGAGGGCGAGTGCTGTCCCGTGTGCTCAGTCACTCAAACTGGTAAAACTGGAATGAAACCTGCACATTTGTCCCGGCATCAGTGGTACTCTGCTCTCTCTTACAGCCCGATGCCCCCCTTTTCAAGCTCCGTCCTCTGCACACCACTGTGAAATGTTGTTCTTGAACCTGTACCGAGTTTCCCTTTCAGTTTGCAAAAGGAATACATGAAGTTTTTGCCAGATAAGTTCACTTCTCTCAACTAAATGTGTGCAATAAAAACTTTGGAGGTAGCTTCATTCTTTTGTGTTTGTTAGAAGAAATAAGGGAGCTGCAACCAGTTTTACTGCCA